GGGGGGGGGGAGCAGAGGAGATGGGGGAGCAGCTCTCCGGCTTAATTCATTTCAGAGCAGCAGCTTTGCAAAGAAAATCCCCCGGAAAGATACAAACCTCCAGCATCCAAGTGGCAACTATTTTCCTCATATATGGCAAGATTTCTTTCTGCACGCACTTGAAGTAGGAGACGGAGGGCGAGCAGGTCTCCTCCGCCTTCAGCATTGTCTGCAGCACCCTGTCATTGAGGAGGTTGGCATCCAGGTAGCCTCGTCGAATGGTCTCCACCTCGCAGCACAGCAGCTGATGTTCCATGTCTGCCTCCGTCGTCTCGAGTCAGTTTTCTGCAGCAGGACTGAGTCAGTCGCTCGCTCGCTCTCTCTCTTCCCCTTCCAGGAGTCCCTTGGATGCTGCTTCTGCTACTGCCGCTACAGCCCTCTGGAGGCTGCAAAACTTTCTAACTTCCAACAAAACTCTCCTGTATAGTCGCTGTGACGTTACTGTTGTTAAGCAGAGATCAAAGCACGAGAGAGAATGAGCAAGAGAGAGAGAGAGAGCCAAAAGCAAGGGGCAGAGCCCTAAAGCCATCCCATAGGCTTCGAGTCCTTCCCCTTTGCTTAGCTTATAGAGAGCAGGGTTTTAATGCAAATGCAAATGAGACAAGGGCTTGCTTTCTTCAAGGGCAAGGGAGAGGTGGGGGAAACCCAAATTGTCTCTTCAGTGTATCATGCATAATTTTAAAAATGGAGCGAGTTCTGCAGTGGGAGCCAAATGATGAATGGGGCTAGGCCACACACAGACACGCAGGGATATAAATACAAGGAGCCTTCCTTGGTATTATTTTACTGGGGGCTCCGGGGAGGGGGAGCAGGGCAGCGCCGGAGCCTCGCTCTTCATGATCAATTATTATTATAGCTCCTGTTCTTATCGCTGTTGCCGATGGGTACCTGCAGTAGCTGTCATTTCAAAAGGTGTGCTCCCAACTTGGAAGTCTTTGTAGCTGATCCCGAGGGAAAAGCTTTTTTCCCATTTCCTCAGTCCCATTTTTTTTTTCCCTTTTTTTTTCCCAGACGAGACGGTTTTGCCGGAAATTTTTTGAAAGGGATTGGGGTCTCCCCTTCCTCTGCCAACATGGTGCTTTTCCTATTGATTTTTTTTTGTTTGGTTGGGCTTTTTTTTTTACATTTTACATTCTTTCCTTTCACTTCGAAGGTTTTACCCCTCCAAAAATAATAAAAAAGGGGGCACAGGGGTGGCAGAGGAAGAGGGTGATGGCTCAACCCCGGGGCAGGCCTCACTCTTGCACCCCACCTCCCCTTCTCACTGCCACCCAGAAAAAAATACCCCAGCAGAAGCAGCAAAATGGTGGCCAGAGCTTCCTCTAGCACCTAAAGGGAGATGAATCGGGACAGGGAGGGGGGGTGGGAAGGGCCTGCTGGGGCCTCATCCGACAGGGCCGCGCTGCCGGGACGGGCTGTCCACGCGTGACGTGCGACGAGACGGGGGCCCCGCCGTAAATAACTCCCTATTCCCTGGCCGAGCTGCCCTGTACCTGAGAACACTTTGCTTTGCTGTGTTTTCCCATGAAAGAAAAATGAAAACAGCTTATCTTTCTTCACTGTTTGAGGGACGCACAGGGGAGCTTGGGGCCCGCCGGAGAACACAACGTGGTGGGAGAAACGACTGGTCCCGCACCAAAAATGGGGAAAAGCAGGAAGGCCATCAACGGGGGGGGGGGGCCTCAAAACTTGGGGTGCAGGTTCAGCATGACCTGGGTGCAGCACCAACAGCCGGGAATACCTCCCGGTGGCACCGCATCCCCGGCGGAATCACCAGCGGGCGTCGGGGCAGCCGAAAAAGGGTCTCCCAGCCATGGAGGGAGTCACCCAGCATCCCTTCTGCGTGACCTGCGGGGAGAGCGGTGCCAAAGATCACAGGGCACGTTGTTGCACAGTTGCGTGTTTACGTAATCTCCCTGCGTGAAAGGGCCGCCCGTCTTGCCCAGCTGACCGGCTTGTTTGACCACGTATCTCCGTGTTGCCTTCGCCTGTTCCAGTGGGAACGTGGGAGGCCCAGGATCTCAGTTCCCTGCAGCCCGTGGGGCTGATCTTGGAGGGTTTTCTGCGTGAGGAAGAAGCCACCCCCATAACCGTCCGTTGTGCTTCCCGCACGGGACACGCGCTCCTGTTTTCCCAGCTTCAGCTGGCCGGGAAGGCTTTAATTTTTAATGAAGAAACGTGCCCGTGACCCCGCGCTCCCAGGCTGGAATTCCGCCTGCTCGCAACACACAACTGGGGGATCCGATGGAAGAGGTTTTTTTGTTTCCCTGCACAACCCCAACACCTTTCTAGGGAGCGGCTGCTTTAGGGGTGCAGGGAAAGCACTCGGGGGAGCCGCTCCTTGCCCCTTCTCCTCCCCAGCACGGTGCCAGCGCTTTTGCCTCCCAACATTTGTTCCCGGCCACGTCGCCGGCCCTGCCCAGGAGCACGGATTCTTTCCCAGCCCGGCGCAGCGCCCACGCCTCCGGCATCCTCGCCCTCCCGGTGCCTCCCGGTAGGGATGGGTTTGCTGAG